AGATATATATATATTTAAATATAACAAATATGCATTATGGATGAACTATATATGCATTTCGTATGAAGTACTTATGCATTCTGTATGAATTAAATATGCATCATGAATAAACTAAATATGATCATGTATATACATGGGCGAATCTAGCTAATAGAATAAGTGGGGACTTATTGTCATTAGGAAAAAAAATATTATACTATCATAAAAAGGGATAAATAAATATAAAATCACACATTTATTATATACTTATGAGTTTTTATAACTCTATATCGCCCTATAATAACATTCTTGAATTTTTTCACATTTTCTTTTGGCTCAAGCCCAACAATATTAGAATTCGCCTCAAGTATATTTGAAATTAAATTATCTCATTTTAAAATATCTTAACGTGCACTTTTTTTCGAGGTATTTTTCAAAAATATTTCTCCATAATTAATGTAATAAAAATTATAATGTATATAAAAGTAAAATATAATACTTAGCTAATAAATTGAACTTTTAAGAGCCTACAATTTAAGTTATTAACAACACACATATTATAGTAGATGTTATTCTTTTATATATATATATATACATATATAATTAATTAATTAAAAAACAACAATCAATTAATTAGAAGAGCGCTAAAAAATACGAATAACTGTGTAAATTTTTCTTACAAGTGTAATAAAAAGAAGGTTAAAATTATGTTGTTATACGATTTTGTAACAACAAAAATGTACACCCCCCTTTTGCGAATAAGGGGTATAAGGTTTATACGAATTTGTAGAGATTTGTGGGAGGTGAAGATCTATCCCTTTTTCCTTGTTTGTTGGTGTTTGCTGTATAATTTGGGATCAAGACTTGAATACAAAGAGTAAAGAAATTGAAAGAAGTAGAACTGTATTTTTTGTTATTGAAGGATTGAAAGGATTAGGGAGCATTTCTCCTGCCGAGGCGGTGCCTCCTTTTACAGTAGATAAAGGAGAAAAGTCCAAGTCTCCCGTAGTTATCTGCTCAGCCCCTATTTATATTTGGGGTAATGGGCCTGTATATCTAATGGGCTTATACGATAAAACATGGCCGCGCAGGGCCCAATAAATAATAAATATGACAGCGCAGGGCCCAATTAATAAATACGACCGCGCAGGGCCCAATAAATAAATATTTGGGTTGACTGACAAATTGACTGGTACTCCGATTGGTATTTGTCTTGTCAGCAATTGACGTGTCTGTATAAGAGGCTTCTTTTGTGATATCAAGGTCGAGCTGGTGGTCTTTGAATACGGACCTCGTCTTCTGGGAACTCGGTTAATATTAAACAGATAAAAGAACATGCTATTTTATATTTATTTAATGTATATCCACATATAATATTTTAATAGGCGAGGCCAAAATTGGGTATCAACAGAAGGCCCCCGACTTTAGAATATGTTCTGAATAGAACTGTTCTGAAGTCGCATGTACAGTCAATTTTGGCTGACTTATGCTTTATAATATGTTTGAATGTTGTGACGTATGAATGTCGTCCGGGTATTTTGGGACCCGTAGTCGCTTTATCGCTCGTGTTCAGGCTTCGGCCTGACTTATTAATATCAATCGTGTTTTTTGTTCGGTCGAATGGAGTTGACCGTGTGGATAGTCAACTTTTTGCAACGACTATATGAATGGAGACCTGAATGGCCTAGTCGGGTAATATGGTACCCAATTTTTGTGTTCTGCACGTGATATGACGCGTTTTAATGGAGTCGCGTCCGTAATGATGGCTTTGTATGAGTACTCGGGCCCCATGATATTGTTATGGGATTCGCGATTTTGACGTCGTATCGGGACGACACGATTTTTTATTTTTCGTATTAATGTGGACCTGGTCGGATAATTCGTTATCCGGTCCTCGGTCTGATTTTTATTGAATTATTGCACGATCGGGTAATGCTCCCGATGTTTCATGTGATTTTAAGAAAGGCGTTAGCCTCGCCAAACCAACTTCAGGGTTTGGAAAAGATTGGGCGTATAGCCTCGCCAAACCAACTTCAGGGTTTGGAAAAGAAGTGTTCATGTCAAAATGAATGTATGACGCGCGTATATGATGAATGTATGTATGAATGAAATAATGAGCACGTGCGGGAAATAATTACTGTACGATAAATGATGTTACCTCGATGTTTTGTCGAGTCTGACTTTTTTGCCGGTAGGTGCTATGCCTTGCCGGAATATTAATTGTACCAAATCAACTTCAGGATTTGGCGAAAGAATATTATTGATGTCGGTTATTATTGCAAGCCCGCTAAACCAACTTCAGGATCTAGCTACGAGGGGCATCAGCCTCCCCAAGCCATCTTCAGGGCTTGGAAGTATCCGGCTGTGTCGCGTTTGGCCAGGTCATACCAACTTCAGGGTATGAAA